ATTAATTGTAAATTATGCTATCTTATATCTATCGTCAACGTATTTTATACTTCATTTCTGATTGTCTTTCTAAAAAAACTAGTAAAATCTATAGTAACACTACAACCATAATAATATATGAATAATAAGAATGATAGAATTTATTAATTGTTAGATAATTATTAATTAGATTGTTATTGTGAGTTAGGCGGGTTTTATTTACATACAACGACATAACTTATATTAAAATCTTATTGTAAAATTTATTGCAGATATATCGGGCTACCTAGATATTTTTAGCACAATATATTAATACCAAAACCCTTATAAATAATAATTTAAAAGTAAAATTTGGCTTTACAACTGTCATGTACATCTTTTTGTTTATTATCTTTTAAATTTTAAATATAAAAATTGCAATAAAAATATATTTTCACCGAACTTGATGTTCTTTTACATCAATTTTGCGTATACCTGCACTATTATATTACACCAATTAATTGTTTTAATTATTAAACAATTAAAATAACATTATTTTAAAGTATATTAACTAATCAATAATAATAATATTTTATTTATATTTCTTAAATGCAATTTCTCATATTGTTTGAGAAAAATATTTAATAATTAATTAATATTGAATGTTCTATCCCATTGAATGTGGATAAATATAACCGGGCTCACATTATTGGTGTATCATAATTATTTTTAAAATGTTAATAAAATGTGCGTACAATGTACATCTGAATATATGTATATAAAATGTTTTATTCTGTTTATTCTGCTAAATCTGTAAGCACATTTTCTCTTGTGAAGACAAGGAAAACTTAAGGCAACGGAGCAAATGACAGATTAACTGGATTAGTTGTAATAAGTATCCATAACAAAATTAATATAATTTAAAAGTTATAAGTGTTCGAATAAAAATGAAAAGTAAAGAACAAAAATTTTAGTTAAATTATTTTGTTTGGTTGTCCAAACAATCCTGTTTCGAGTATTATCAAGTATTTATCATCAGTGGTCTTAGTAAATATTCGAATAATCGAAATTTTAATAGTTTATAGTTCGGATATAATTTGTGGAAGAATCGTGTTCTTTCACAAATAGCGGAGAATGCACAAACTTTCAATGCTTAAGTTCCAAGTTTTTTTTTTATCATCCTTCTAACTTTTAAATAGTTTTTTTTCGTCATAAGACGCGTCGCTTTCGACAAAAAGAAAATAATATTAATGAAATTAATATAATTTCAGTAATTTTTAGAGTAAGTGATAGGTTAACTAACGATCAGGGCGGATGTTGATAAGAAGTGTGGCAGACTTTCTACCTCTAAACTATTTAGAAAAACAGGAATTACAGAATTTATCATTAACGTGTTTTTCCTGACCCTTGCAGCCTAAATATTATACACAAAACTATCTACCAATCAAATATTCTAAAGAAATAATAAAATGGTATTTTTTTTAAATTAGAAAAAATTTTCTTGAATTAAAAAAAACAACCTTTTTTATTGATAAAATAATTTCATTCTACATAACTGATTTTAAAAATTAAATTTAATGAAAAAAAAACATTTTAATGAGTTTAATACTTAAGTAATTACCCTTAATGTCTAATACCCTTTCGTTATTTGGTATAAACATTCATAACTCGAACTTCTATAACTCGACTTTTCTATAACTCGAGCTAAAAAGAGTGCAACAGGGTTTTAGAGAACAAATTATATACAATTCTGCTTCCATAACTCGAACTTTTATTATTCGAATTTCACCATAACTCGAATAAAAATATTGTCACGTACAAATTGGAATATGTGAAAGTACATTCTTCCCTAAGTCAAAATTTTCATTTTAGTGTTATGGGAAGTCCCTTTTTCCAAACTAATGAAAGTGTTCATCAGTCTTTCAAGAATAAAGTGGAAGACTCATTCAAAATTCTGAATTTTTATTTGCAAACGAATGATACTCCAACTGATGATCCCTATAAGACTTGACAGAAATTGGAATCTCATTTTATTGAAAATTAGAAAAAAAATTAAGATCTCAAACCCTAATCTCTGAACATTTTACATCACTATAATTTCTGGGCTGTATTTGAAAATTTAAATGAAATTCTAGTTTCTTTCACAAATACAAAAATTCACTAATTCGAAGTCTCCATAAGTCGAATCTTTTCTTTGCAAAATGGTGCTTCGAGTTATGGCAGTTTGACTGTAGTTATTTTCTACTTATAAAAAACTGTAATTAACATATTTATTCTTAATTTACATGAGAACTTATTTAACATATTAGGTTTATTGTGATTTTTTTTCGTTGGGCCCCTTCTATTGGGAGTTTAAAAATTTGCATCTGAACATAATTTTTCGCTTTTGTTGTTTAATTATTAATTAAAAACTATTTTTACTAACAAATATTTGCCTTATAGATAAATTTAACAATTATTACCGAAATCAATATTTTATTTCAGCGCAGTTATAAAAGTTCCCATTAATTTAATTAAAAAAATTACAAACAAAAAATGCATGTGCACTTGCAATGCATTTCCGTTGCAACAATCTTATAACATTAATTTTTCCAGACTAACAAATTCAATTATAATAATCAAAAGGCATGATTTAAATTAAATTATTAAGGCCACTTATATTAATCTTGAAAATCACTGGCAGTGAATCAGTAACCTAATGTTCTCTCGCTGTTTAAAATAGAGCGAGTACCACATGCGAGTAGAAACTAGTAAATATGCTACAGATCTTTGAGCCTTTGGTTACAAGTAAATAATGACGTCATATACTCGTAGAGAAAACAAGCACAACAAAACCGGTGTTTGATTTGGTTTTATAAAGTTTGTTTGTTATTTATTAAGTACGATATGTGCCCCACAAAATTTCACGCAGAACCACAACTCAGAGAAGAATGTGGTCACGAATATCTCGTTCGTGTCCTAAATTAATGCCGGCGACGAGTACGAGTGCGAATGCGAGTGCGAGTACTAGTGCTTCATTGCTCGTTCATATTTTTCTAATAAGACAGTTTGTAAAAGCGAAAATAAGTTTAGTCGTAAAAGTGTTTGTGGCCAGTGTGCAACGTCGGAACAGATTTAAAAAGTATTACTCATATATACATATATTTTGGTAAATAGAAATTTAAAATTTTTTACATATGTATTTATTTGTGTTTTATATAAATATACAAAAAAAAAACTAATAAAATGCAAGATCACAGCGTGAAGTGAAATAACGTGAGAAAAAAATGTATCAAAGTAAATGAACTGTTGTTGGGTGCGGCATACATTTTTTTTTATTTTAACTGTTGATTAATAAAAAAAAAACAATATAATATTACAAAAAATAAAACTTTGAATTTTTTTTTTTTGTAATTTTTTTAACTTTTTTTTTGCGTTTTGGTACTTAGTATTTACAACGATTTATGTTATGTTCTTGAAAAGATGACATCACCATTCCCATCATAACATCAAAGCAGCCATTGTAGGCCGCAAGTGTGTGCGAATACACCCCGAATTGTCGAATTGTGTACTTAGAAGATGCGAATAAACACATTTACTAATGTTCAGAAACTAGCTAAAATTAAGCTTATTTGTGTTTAAAGAAAAAAAATTATATAAAATTACTTCTCATATACATTATTTATCGTGTAATACTAATTGAGTGCTTCAAGTATTTTATAGTAAATTGCTGCCATTCATTCTATATATTTCGTTTTATCTTCACTTACTTTTCATTTTCAATAATTATTCACGTTGTGGGTATTTGTCAGCATCGTTAGTCCATAACGAATTGCGATCTACAGTCATTTTGATGTACTCTCAATAATACAATTTGTTTACCCATTATTCATAATGAAAGAATTCTCAGAATCGCTATTATTAATTTATTTAAAATTGTTTGTTTCTACAGTGCAGTGATATAAAAAGATTTCAAAGGAAATGCGTCATCAAAACTGAAATAGTAGTTTCTAAACTTTGCTAGTTATGCTTATTACTAGTTGTTAACAGCTACACACGTATTGAGTTAACCAGTTTTTTTTTCTTTGGTTAAACTTGGTTTAGAAATATTTTTATTAACTACTACTCAAGTACAACTTTATTAGGGCAGTTAAATACTATTATTTTTATTTTTGAAATTTAAATATTTTATTCGATTGCACTTTCTTATTTGAAGCTGTTACGCATTTTATGATGGTTCCTATTTTTAAAAATAATTTTCAAAATTTATTAATTTGATTTATTTTAATAATTAATTAATATGTTATTAATAATTATTAATATTTTAATAATGTTTATTAAATAATAATTAATAAATTATTTATTATTATTTATTAATTTGTTTGATAAATATGATTATGTATATATATACATAAATGATTTATATTTATATATATATATATATTTAAATATTAACAGAGCATTAATAACAGATCTTTCCTGTGCCTAGAGTATAAAGTACTCTTGTACAACAGCATCATAAAATCAATATGGACTTGTGGTATTCAGCTATTTGGTAAAGTTAGTGCTTCAAATATTGAAATTATCCTAAGAGCTCAATCAAAAATACTGAGAATAATTACTGGTGTCCCATGGTATATTAGAAATGAAAGTATCCACCGAGATCTACAAATTTCCCTAGTTAAAGCTGAATTTGACAATATAAGAAAAAAATACAATACAAGGCTGACAGAACATGTTAATCCCTTAGCAAGGAATCTCGCGCTTTTATCTATTATATACATATAAATTATATATTTATATATATTTATATATATATATATATCAATTATATATTAGCTTTAAAATTATGAACTAAAATTATGAATTCTTTTAAGTCGATAACTCTCATAGATTTCATTGTTTTAATATTGAAATCAAAAAATATTTATGATATATTTATGATTGTGTTCATAAATTTAACATAGAGAACTATATAATAGAGTTTCTAATTTACCTTTTCATATCTTATACAGTTCTGAGATAGATTCATAGGATGGAGGAGAGTTGGATTGAGAGAAAATTATTCAAAAAATATAAAAGAGGAAAAAGGGATCATGGGAGAAAAAACGTGAAAAATAGAGAAATTGAGAAAGAAATAGAGAAAGTAAGAGAGGAGGGAGAAAAATTAGGCAAAACATAGTGGGAGACGGAGAGAGAGTAGTGTGAGAGACGGAAAGAAAGAGAGGGGGAGAGATAGATAAAGACATAGGGAGGGAGCGAAAGAGAAGGGAAGAAAAGAAAGAGATGGAAGGGAGAAAAAGAGGGAGTGAGAAAGATAAAAAGGGAGAGAAAAAAAGAAAAAAGTGTGTGGAAAATATTGTAAGTTGTATTGTAAATTTTAAAACACTATGGCAGGCTTTAGGGTAATTATTTTAATAGTTTCTATAAAATTGTAGTCATGTTTGTTGCCTTGTGGAATTACAAGAAATTAAATAATATGTACTAATTTGTAATTATGGATTTATTAAAAATATACTTTTCTTTATTACTGGAAGAGGCGAATTTGTACAGTTATTCAGCACAGTTATTATCGAATAAAACAGTAGGTAGTTCACTTCAGAGACCAATTGTAACAAAATGATGTATGATATGTAGAAAGTTCTTTAACAAAATATGTTTCTAAGACAATAAGGAAGTGGCATATTAAAAAATAGAAATCAAATTTTGATATAAACCACATTCAAATTGTATTAAAATTTTTATAATTATTTTGATATAATCATTGATTTATTTGTGGAAAGATACATTTAGATTTTCAAACTTTACTGATATTTAAATTATTTTTTAATTTAAATCGTATATGTACTGTATTTCCAGTATATTATAGAAGATTAATTTAATTTAACTTATTTTTTTATTGTATACATATTGTATTTAAAATAATTTAAATCTATAGATAAAACAGTAAGTGAGCTTGAATGCGATCGTGTGGAGTTGAAGAAAAACTACTAACAACTGCTCGATTCTAACAAATTATTCTTGTTATTTTTGCTTTCTGCTAACGATTGCCGTGTATAAAATGAGTAATATTAGTTTTCAAGTCACGAGCTTTGTATTTACTTAATTATATATATTAGTATAGATATATTAGTTATGTTTATATAGGGCTTTAACTTAAACAAACTTAATTAACAAACATTAACACTTTGGCAAACAATTATCCAGACGTTTTATATAAAAATAACTTATACATTAAGACCGAAAAGCTTTCGGAAATTCTCATTTAAAATTCGCGCGCTGTATATTTTCCGATATTTTAAGTTTATGTAGTTTGGCAGCACTGTCCTTAATTACTATGCCAAAAATGAGCGCGATCTGTCAGACAGTTCGTTTACGGCAGCTGTTGAAACCAGTTCACCTCAGTAGGGCGTTGCGAAAAAAACAATGGAAAAAAATATTGAACAAAGAGTTTGCATCAAATTTTGTGTTTCGAACGAAATTTCGTGTGCAGAATCGTTGCGAATGCTACAAAAGGCTTATGGGGAATCAGTTTTATCGAAAACTCAAGTTTATGAGTGGTACAAAGCCTTCCAGGACGGTCGTACGACCGTCGAAGACATTTCGCAACGCACTACTGAGGTGAACTGGTTTCAACAGCTGCCGTAAACGAACTGTCTGACAGATCGAGCTCATTTTTGGCATAGTAATTAAGGACAGTGCTGCCAAACTACATAAACTTAAAATATCGAAAAATATACAGCGCGCGAATTTTAAATGAGAATTTCCGAAAACTTTTCAGTCTTAATGTATTTGTCGATTCTGATGATATAATACATCATCATATACGTTATTTAAGTTACCAATAATTTCCTAATATTGTACATTTTTTTTGAAAACAAGTTTAAAGATTTTTTTCTACGTTTATTAATTTGAAGTCTCCAAACCACGTCAGAATTTATTGTATTTACATAGAATTTTAATGGTTTGCTCTCCACTCACTTTACTTTTCTGGATTTATTTTAAAGGTATTTGCTTGTTTTATAGTAAAATTTTGTTTGTTACACTGACAAACTTATACAAGTATATGTTTGAATATATATATATATATATATTTATAGGAATGTGTAGATTATAAATTTGGGTATAGTCTTTTATTGTTTCACTTCTTTATTTTCTTAATTGTTCATTTTAACGTTTCTGCTTTCTACTTGAAATTTGTTTATATTAATATTAAAGTTTATATGTGAGATAGTACCATAAAACAAAAAAAAATTGTGGAAGATACGATAGTGAAAGAGCAAATTTGAATTTGAATTTGAATTTTTTTCCATCTTCAAGTTTAAAACCAAAAACAATTTTATTAAAGTGTAGTAGAATAAATATTTAATATTGTTAGCAATTATTATTTATTTTTTGAATTTACTAAATTTATTTCTTAATAAATACATTTCGCCACTATTTCATATATATATATAAACACAAGAATTTTATATTTTTGTAATAATTACATTTTGGATTGATTTTTCAGATATTGTAAAATATCCATTATTATCATAATATTTTTCTTATAAGTTTTTATTTCACAATACATAAATTATTTATTTATTTTAATATACATATAGTATAAAAAATATTTTTAATTTTTTTTTATTTTTATTAAAATAATTTATTTAATCTATGATATAATAATTTATTGTTTTTGACTACATACAATAATTTTTTTTAATTATTTAGTTATTTGGCAATTAAATTGTATAAAAAAAATATAGAAAATGTGTGATTTCTTTATGTCCAGTTATTAATGACTTTTATAAGTGTTGTAATAAATACATATATATCTTCGATTAATCTGGTTTGAAGTTTAATGATAATAAGAACAAAAAAAGTTTAAATTATATTATTATTGTTATATTTAATAATATTTGACATTTCGTTGATTTTAAAACGAGTGGTTTTGAGACATATCCCTGGCTGATTCTGGTTTTGAGACATACGTATTTAAAGTTATAGCAAACTTATTTATAATGCTATGAAAAGGAAAATGTTTACGCTTTTACAACGAAATATGTTAAGTACCACAAAGCACAACAAATGATACATAAAGATGTTGTCCTTTCATTATAACTATTATAAATTTATAAGTATATACAAACTCAACTCCGTCATAAAAGTTAGATCATTTTTTTTATTTTTACTATCATTTTGGTTCTTTTCGAATAAAAGTTTCTTTGCCCAAAATCATTTCCTACGTAGAAGTATTACCATTTACCCCATTAAATGACTATACTTTGTTTTATTTGAATTTTAAATCACTAATACCAACTACACAGCTCCAATTTAAAATATTTATCTACTAATTTGTTAGAATATATATAGTATATATATATACATATAGAAATATGTATATTATATACAGACTATAAAACTATTAACTTTATATGTATGTATACATATAAATGTTGATAAAAGCTTAAAATATTTCACAATTATTGCTATTGTAATTATTCGTTTATGCATATAATTACCTTAGATATAGTTTCTATAAAACCACATCCAAGTGTATGCACACAGTGGCGCGTACAAGCGGAGTATCTTGAGTTTCAAACCCCCTAAAAGATAAGGAGTGATATATATTGATATAATGTCTTTATAGCGCTTTAATATATCAATTCTGAATAAGTTTTTAATATCCCCTCTTAAATGGGTTTTACATACGTCTCTGTGATTCATATATAAAAAAATAATGAATTTGTCATGTATGCGTCATCATAAATGTTTTATATTAGTAAAACAGTTTAATTATTTTTGTTAGGAAATTCTATATATATACATGTGAAAGCTTAGAAATGAAGTGTGATTATATTCATTATTTTTTGACGTTTGTCGTATGAGTTTGCCCAGAATCAGAGCGGAATTAAAAATTTAAGTAATAAATCAGAAAAATATTTAAACGTTTTAATTATCTAGTTAAAACTAGCGATTAAGAAGGGTTGGACATGTGATAAGAATGCCGGATATGTGAGTACCGTTTAAGATTTATGAGAACGAAGTAGGAACCAGCAGAAGAAGAGGGCGACCAAGAAAACGATGGAAAGACAGTGTCCAGTAGGATTTAGAAGAAATGAACATTTTGGAAAACAAAAACAAAAAACAGGTCCTACATGGACTGTATAGTCAAGGATAATGATGAATTATCTAATTCACTGTTGTATCTTTTATAGGGCGGTAGAAAATTGATAATTATTTTATGTATATACGTATTCCATTGAGAAGTTATTTTTAGTCTTTATTTTTTAATTTTTGCAAATATGTGAAAATTTACTAATCTTTCTATATATAAAAATTACTTTTATTGTTAATGATTTTGTTAGACCTATTTAGTCTAAACAATACACTATTAACATTAATATTATCACAAACTAACTAAAAGCAACCATATCAGAATTTGAATAGCGCAAATTAAGTCTAAGTTAGGTTTTTGTGTTTACACGCGAGCGGTTTAAACGGTTTAAGCGGTTTACGGTTTAAATTTGGCAGGGTTCAATTTTGAACACTTAAAGTCCAAAAATGCTTTATGGTGAATTAAATTACTAGATGTTTCCAAAGACCACTAATTATAGGCAGCTCAAGAATTCACTTATTTAAAAATTAAATTTTTAGAATTTAAATATTTACTTTATTTTAAATCCACTTTACATATTATTTCATTTTATTTTATTTACTCTTATTTTAACAAATGCTTAATATACAATTTCTATCTACCTACCTACTACCTACCTACTACTCTAATAAACTATTTTAAAAATAAAAGCTCTGCGCGGAAATGGGGCATACATATTTCATGCGATCAATACACAGTTTTCCTTCTTTCATGGCCTGACAATGAAACAACTTTCACTTTACACCCAAAGAAATCCACCAACAATGCTCGTGAAATTGTTATTGTAATAGTTTTTCACTGCTATTATCTGTTCATGACTTCATCAACTTGTCGTGGCACAGAAGGGCAACGGTCTAATGAACTTCTGAATGATTTTATGTATCTGATGCATTTACTTGAGTTTGTTGTGCTCACATAGTAAAATTACTACTTTATGTGCTGGCGTAAAATTAATGGGAATATGCGGTGACATTCCACTAACCTAGTTAAAGTAGCTTAGTTGCGAGCAGCTGATAGCGAAATAGTTGTAGGTGTGCCTGTATTATATATTTATATGGTAATGAGTATCTTCCTACATAATCAAAAATACATAATATATACAAAAATTTAATAACATATAAAATGTATGGGAGAATGTATTTTTATTTATTCTATTTCAAGTATAACCATATAAAATCACGAAAAAATAATTTTTTATTTTTTGTTAAGTACACACAATTAGTTAAATAATGATTAATGTTTTTCCCAACTTACAGAATTATTTTCACTGTCAGTCTTTGAAATAGACGTATTTATAAAAGTTAAATATATAAATTATACAATTTCAAAGTTTAGTTGGGTTAGTTTGATTTTTATTTATTTTTTATTTTATTTTTTTTTTATTTTTTTTTTTTTTTATTTAATTTTTTTTTTATTTTATTTTTTTTTTATTTTTAATTGTTTTTCTTAGTTGTAATTTAACGTTCTTTTTTTTTAATTTTTTATTTTTTTTATTTTATTTTATATTTATTTATTTTTTTTATATTTCCATTTTTTTTTTAAATTTTTTTATTTTGTTGCATTTTTATTATATTTTTTTATGTATGAAAATTTAAAGTGAAAATCAAATTTTTATGTAATTTTTTTTAAGTTTTATATTTTTTTAAGTAATAACAATTTATAATATAATATTAATGTTATATATATATATTTAATTAATTGAACTACAGCTTTGCCAAATATCCATCATCCTATTTTTACATATATTTTTTTATATATATTTTTATATATATTTTTTTTTATATATATTTTTTTATATATATTTTTATATATATATTTTTTATATATATATTTTTTATATATATTTTTTTATATATATTTTTTTATATATATTTTTTTGTATATATTTTTTTATATATATTTTTTTATATATATTTTTTTGTATATATTTTTTTATATATATTTTTTTATATATATGTTTTAATATATATATTTTGTTCAACATATTTTTGATATATTTTTGTGCATGTTTTTTTTATATATTTTATTATAAATTTGTTTTATATTCTTTTAATACATTTTGTATATTTTTATCATTGTCTTATATACATTTTTTATGATTTTGTATATATTTCTTATATTTTTATTATAAATTCTTCATATATTTTATTTTTATTACAAAAGTTACCTCTTTGAAACCTCTTTTAATTTAAAATATCTAAAAAATAGCAATAGCGTTTGAAGATAATACGCTTAATAAGCAATAGATTTATAATTAATGCGGATGATTTCATAGAAATACACCTTAAGCATTTTTAATACTTACTCCCATAGGCAGAATATTGATATAAACTACACACCCTTTTCTAGTATTTAGCTTAATCAGCAAAGTATTTATTTTAATTTGTATTCGTACATATATTTGCATCGATATAATGTTGTATGTATTTATGTATAATACATATAAACATACAAGCGTTTAGGATTTATTGCATATTGAATTCATCGTGTGGCGCCATGCTGTCGTAAAAGTAGCCATGCCAAGCCAAAATGGCGTCAGAAAATTGAAGTATACCACCGCATTGGCGTACAACGTAGCGTATGTTTATCATGTTTTATTTTCTCATGAAATTGGATTTTTTTATGGATTTTTTTATTGAAGTCATGCTTGGCTTTTGTACTAAGTTCGATAATTTAAGTTATGTACAGTATTATACGCTATTGCAGGTATATACTGGAAATATATATTTCTAGTATCTCTAGAAATACCATTAGACGTCTATTTAATTACTTCAGTCTGTGGTCGGGAATAAAATATTACCTGTAACTTATAGTTAACGCTAATATCAATCTCAAACCAAAGTAATTAGGGCCAACTTAAAACTTGGCCCTAATTATAAATTTCAAATATCTTTTGTCCATAGAATTTTGAAAACAACTTTATACTAATTTATATTGGATCATCCATTTATTCTGTCAGTTTCCACAATCCGAAATATATCAAAATTGTATCTAAAAACGTAAAATTTTTTGAACAAATGGCAGCCAACATCTGAATTAGATTTATGTGTATTGCGTTTTTAATGAGATACATGACGATGATGTAATGCTGGAATATGTTTTATGAGTATCTTTCAATATAAAACACAAATAAAAAAATTGTTCTTGATAGAAAAACAATCAGATAATAGACAAAGAGACTGTTATTCTATGAAGCCAGAATATAATATTAATTTTTAAGCAAAATTATGTTGTCTAAGTTATACTATATATGTATATAACTTTTTCTAACAAGAATTTATTTTTTATTATTTCAGTTTTAATTCAAAAGAAACAAACTTAATTACAAAATGAGCTCTGCTGAATATTATCCATTCAAGGTAAGTCCAAAATTAAATGTGTAATATAAGGGAACTAAAATAAAATTATTTCATAGCTGTGCATAAAAAAAATATTTTATTTTAACTTTGACCTTCAATCGCGTTGATTAATGCTGTTTAATAATTTTTTGATAATAAAAATAGTTTGTAATTAAAATTATTCAAGTTAATGTGTCTTTAGTTTTTAATTAACTTAGTTAGGAGTACAAATATGCATTTAAAAGCATAACGATTACTCTATTTAATGTTTGATTATAGGGAATCCAAAGAAGATTTAATAATTTAATAAATATATTTCTTATAAATATAATAAAGAACGCAATAATAAAGGATTATCTATTTTGTGGTTTTCATTTAACAGCACTATTTGAGTAAAATACTTTGAACAGAACATTCGACCAAAGCATCATATGTGTAGTTTAAGTTTTGCCATTTCGTAATACAAATCGTTTAACAATCGCTGAATCTGTGCAAAATTGTTAAAAAAGAATAAAAAAATGACGATTATTTGCAACAAAGTTTCTTCACCTTTAACAAGGTATATATGTCAACAAACAAAATAGTATTTGCGTTACTGAATAGTCACAAGTAGCTATCAGAAGACCACCGCATCCAGAAAAAGTCCATATGAGGTGTGGTATTTTGTTCGGAGATATGATGTACTTTCTTGAAAATCACGAGTGTATGACATAAATAGTAAATTTTGATGGTTACCACCACATGGTCACCAATTTATTTTGGCGGAGTATCAAAGATATTTGTATGTAAGATGTGTGGGTTGAGTAAAAGATGTTGCCACAGGCCGGATATTGGGTCCTATCTTTGCTTTGTTGCGCAGGAAGTTTCTTGGATGAGTAATGTCATCTTTTTGGTAATGTAAATTGTCACACAAGATAATGTGATATGTTAGTATTGGAATTTTTTTGTGGTTTTACGCAAAGAACCTGGTTTTTCCAGACAATTCTCAATTTCTCAACGGTTTGAAACATATTGAAGTTACTACAAAGTTATTGTCAGCTCTGCGCCGTCAACTCATTCAACATTATCTCGAAGAGAATTAAGTTCTGTACCATGTTTCGCAAAGAACATTTAAATGATCTTCTACTGCTATCCATATGGCAGGGTCCAAACAATATATTGATATAAAACTTTGATCAAAATCTTAATCTCAAGTCTGTTCGTTTGCTGACATTTACTTTTGGAACCACAAAATAGATAACCATACATAATAGTGGAAATATGTTTTAGTTAAAATCTTTTTTCCTATAATGGCATCGTAAAAACAAATCAAATTTATAAATGTGTATCAATAAAGCCTGTATCATTCATTAAGGCGTGATAATTTCAATATCATTTTTTATATCATATAAAATTATCTGCTGCTTAATCATATTTGTAATTGTGATAATTAAAAATGTTGCTATTCACTTTAACTTTCTAGTATTTAATTTACTTGTAAATAATTACTTTTTAATTATTTTGATTATTCTGGAAGATAGTCATCGCTGGGTTTCAAGTTTTTAATTTGTATTTGAATTTGCTTTGAGGTTTATTTCATGCCTCAGTGCTCTTATCTCTGTGGATTGTTTACATTTTATTATTATTTAGTGCTGTAGTTTATATATAGACAAGCATTTTAATAGAAAATTCTTGATAAAATAGCTGTCAGGTGTTGTTTTTTTTTTGTTTTTTTGTTTGTATTTCGTTTTTATATAAACTGAAATTTAACATTGAACTTCAAAACAAAATATCAGTTAAGTATCAATGTTAAGAGTACTTGGTTAGATATATTTTATTTATACTAATTGATTGACTTCATTATTAAATTAGAAAATTATTAATAAAATATTGCGATCTCTCCTTGTACTTCTCTGCACTTTCATGACTTCGATTCTTAGAATAAATTTTTCAGTGAAAGCATTTTATATTTGAAATTCTTTTCCTGTAGACAAATGTTATTTTTATATTTATTTTTAAAAATTAAGTAATTACGTTAATTAGTAATTAGTGCATACTTAATGAATGCACAGGTTTTTCTCATTGCTCTACAGTTTTTTAGTATATTTTTATTTTTTTCTTTTGTTATTTTTTCGTTTTATTTTTTATTTCTTTTTAACATTGAAATTTTAAAACAGAGGTTTCTCATAGAAATTTGTTATGAATTACTTCTTCCCTTCCCTTCGCTTTACTTATTCAATATCTTTTTTTTAATTTTTTGCATATATTTTCTTTCCTCAATTTATTTAAATGCTTCTAGCTGGTATTTTAACAGTTTCTGCCTCCATTTAGTGCTACCAGTGAGCACTTTGTCAATTGTTTGTATGTATTTAAGCTAAGTTGTACACTAACTGAATTTGTAGTCAAGTTAAGGGCGTTTACTTCATAATTAATATAAATTAAATTCAAATTAATGTAATATTTGGATCTTATTTTTAATGAAACATTAAAATAACCATAATGTATTAAGCTTAGCTTCTTAGTGTCAGTTTCTTCTACTGGAGCATAGGTCCTCAAGCTTAGTTTACTTTATAATAAAAATATTCTCAATATTTAAATTGATTATTTTAATAAACTAAGTTAAGGGTTTTTATTTTCAATAATTTAAGTATAAGTTGAGATTTCAATATCTTGTGTAGTATTTATTTAGAATGCAAGAATGCAACATAAGCAAGAAACAGAATTTGTTTGAAGTCTGGAAATTAAGTTACTAAGGACAATGTAATACCCACTTAACATTACAAACTTGGGGTTTCTAAGGGAAGGGCTGTAAACATTTTATATATGTTTTGAGAGCAATAGAAAACAAAAATTTTAGTAAATAATGAGAATAATGACTTGCCTCTCATGTTAAATTGTAAATAAAGCTCTTTTTGCGATAATGAGAGAATTTCTACAATAATTCATTTTTCTATAATGTGAGTGAACATGAAGGAGAAAATCAATCATTTTTTAATTACAACTTTTTTTGAGGAAGTGGCTTATTCTGCTTTCTTGAACTAGAAGTTTATGAGAGATTTCGAAAAAAACAAACACATATACAACAGTAACAACTTTAGAAGGTTAAGTAGTTAATAAATATTAATTGGCATAGTTCGAAGTGGGTCATCTATAATAGTTCAGGTATTCTCTTTAAATAGCAAAGTAGATCTTTTTAAGGTTTACAAAGTACTTTCGAACCCCCATAATAATAATTACAGTTATTGATAGTAGGTTTATGTGTTATTAGTTTTAATTTACACTGATTCAGTTAATTTTTTTTTCGATAATTTTTTTAAGTGCCCAATTTAATTTTGGATTTTTAATTTTTCTAAAAAATTTTGTAATATTTTTTTGGTTCATCGTATACTGTTTTACTGAAGTGATTCACGTCTTTTCAAGTAAGTTGCCAATAGACTTTTCTGTCAATTTACGATTAAAGTTATTTAGATAAATATAGATATATATGAGATATGTATGAACGATTTTTTGACTACCTGCATTTGTTTTTGGTAGTGTTATCTTTTGCAATCTGTATGTAGAAAATGGAACCCCACCTACCATACGTTTATTTTTCATTACCCAAAGTTAAACTTCTTCAATATGGAATATTCTTTATATATTCATGTATAAAAATATTTGCGCCAAAATAATGATTGATAATTTTTAAAAATAAATATTTTCCTAATTGTTAAGTACATATGACAAACGAGAAAAATATTTAAAAACGCTGCTTGCATAAAATTATTAAACATTCACCTTTTTTCTGTATGTAGAAAATAATAATTCTTCAATGTACATACATATGTACATTGTTTTACTAGTATTTTGTCATACAAAAATTTTAAAAAATAAGTCATGCATTTTGAAGTGAAATTTTAATTATTTTTAAATAATTTCGTCACGTTTTATTGCAAAAAATTACTGAGAAACGCAATGAGTCTCCGTAAGAAATTGATTTTGCTAGGCTTGCAAATATACATTTTTTCCATAACTACATTCTGAGTAAATATATGCATGTGTATATATATAATAAATATATATAGTACAAATAAAATTTTTTTATCTTTATAATATAGCACGAACATAGTCGTATTTGCAATAATGAGATTGTTTAAGTTTTCATATTTACTCTTTTGAATGATAGCAAATAATGTCAACCAATATTTTTTTTATTATTTCTCTCTCTTCCCAAAGGTTGAAATTTTTTTATCCACAATTGCGTGTTGTTAGGTGTTAAAGTAAATCATTTTTTTATTAAATAATAAATATTTAATTTAATAAATTATTATATTGCTTGTTTTTGTAAAGAGGAAAATCCCCTTTGGAGATAAAACTTAAAATTATTATTAAGAAAAAAATTTGAAATAAAGCTTTTATAATTATTTCAACTTTTATAATTTAGAGATATGGATAACTATATCTGTCCGTAAATTTAAAAAAGCATTTAAAGTACAAAAATAAACGATAATGTAATTTACTTAACCTTTAAAGTTAATGAAGATCCTAAAAATTTTTAATAAAAGGTATAGTACCACTTAATGGCACTATCTGAGACCCAATTATTTTATATAATTTATTTCAATACTATTAATACATAAAACTATTAATACTATTAATAAACTAATTATATTGATCTTTATAGTGTACCCCCACTGTCTATCCAGCTGATCCGTTCGATCCCGTTGATGATGCCGCAATTCTGCGTAAAGCCATGAAAGGCTTTGGTACTGATGAAAAGTCCATCATTGAAGTGCTCGCACGTCGTGGTATTGTACAACGTTTGGAAATTGCTGAAGCTTTCAAGACCGCTTATGGCAAGGATCTTATTTCGGACTTAAAATCCGAATTGGGTGGTAAATTCGAAGATGTTATTGTTGCCTTAATGACACCATTGCCACAGTTCTATGCAAATGAATTACATGATGCTATCTCTGGTCTGGGTACCGATGATGAAGCTATCATTGAAATCTTGTGCACACTCTCCAACTATGGCATCAAAACAATTGCACAATTCTATGAACAAAGTTTCGGCAGATCACTGGAATCTGACTTGAAAGGTGACACCAGCGGACACTTCAAGAGATTATGTGTATCATTGGTACAAGGCAATCGTGATGAAAATCAGGTATGTCTTAAACGTTTATTCTAAATTAAATCCAAGATAATTTTAAAATGTATTTTTTGTAGGGCGTTGATGAGGCAGCAGCCGTTGCTGACGCACAAGCCTTACACGATGCCGGTGAAGGACAATGGGGCACAGATGAATCAGTATTTAATTCTATTTTAGTAACACGCTCCTATCAGCAATTGCGTCAAATTTTCCTTGAATACGAAAATGTTTCTGGAAATGATATTGAAAAAGCCATCAAGAAAGAATTCAGTGGGTCCGTAGAAAAGGGTTTCTTGGCTATTGGTGAGTTGTTGGATTTAAAATTTTTAAATATTATTTTTAATTTATTTTTTATTGCTTAATTTAGTTAAATGCTGTAAGTCTAAAGTCGATTACTTCGCTGAGCGCTTGTACGACTCAATGCATGGTATTGGCACCAAGGACAAGACACTGATACGTATTGTTGTAAGCCGTTCCGAAATTGATTTGGGTGATATTAAGGAAGCATTCCAAAATAAATACGGCAAGAGTTTAGAATCCTGGATTAAGGTAATTAAAATTACTTATTTATATATTTTTATTCTGAGTGTTATTTCGGTTCATACTAAATTTGCATTTGTTTTGTTTTGGGTGTAAACATAATTGGTTTTAATAAATTTATATTTCAATATATTATTACTAATATTTTGGGTATTGACATATGCATGCACTGAGTGGGTATTCGTAAGTTCTAAAAGTGAATTGTACTTGTGTGAGATCATAAAACATATTTAAATCATTTCAAAATGTAGTTATCGTGTTGTACATAGTAATATAAATTTTATCTGTTCTGTAGACATTTACAAAATATAGAGCTATGTATATAGCTCTGTTCATTACTGATAAAAATATGAATATTAACAGTCAATAAACTTCTATTAGATGCCAATGTGACAAAATATTTGAACAGTGAATTCAAAACATATATCGATATTTTTATCATATAAAAAGATAACTTTTGAGTGTTAAAGAAAACAGTGAAAAACTAAAGAGCTTCATATATAAGCAATTTATATCTGTATTATCTGCTTATAAGAAAGTGCAAGCTAAAATATAACTACTTATATTTTAACTAATGTTGTTTTATGCAACATCGACTTCTAACAGCCTTCAATATCAATTTTGTTAATAATTGCAAGTTTAATTGAATTGCGCTGTAAATCAAAGAGAGTTGTTGTAATTAAAAATATTATGTTTAAATAATAACATCCTAATGTCTAGATTTTCGAATAGTTTAGGTCTTTATTTGCCGCACTTTCTTCTAATTAATATAATATGCATGATATGACTGTGTGAATAAAGCAATGTGTGGCATTTCTTTGCTAAATTATTGTTCCAGTTTGAGATTATGGATTATGAAATAAATTTCCTCATCTTATCAAGTTCTGCCTTTTATACGTTGAATAAATATGATTCTTGATATCTTATGAGCCTTTGCGACAATTAAAATATACTGCTTTGTTGTCTATAAATGATCAGAGGTTATATCAGCTTAACATATATATAAATTAAAAATAAATAGGATCAAAAATATAAATCAGATATTTAAATATATTCTTATATTCATTTACCATATGTATATATGTAAAGTATATTTATACATAATATTTGTAATGATTTTAATTAATTTATTTAGGTACTATTGCATTTTTAATTCAATAATGAATTATAATCAAAAAAATATGCAGTTATTCTCATTGTATATAACCAATAATAAATCTTCTTATCTGCATACTGCATGATAAATTTCCTAATTACGATGCTTCTCTAACCATTGTAAACCTATTCAATTGTTTGTAAGAAAAAGTAAGAAAAAGTTGCAGAATTTATACCACATATGATTATACGACACTATATTGTGTATAACTATATAAGTTCTTTAGCTGATCAAAAATGTTATTTTACAGAAGAGCGTTTAGTATCATATATATACAGTTTATAAAAGTTTATTAAAACTTCGTATGAGTTTTTTGATTTATCTTCCAAAACTTTATATAAAATTGTTAGAAGCAGTACAAGGGACATAACATGGGTTAGTGTTTGTAGCCTAATTCATTTGAAGACACAACAGTTTATTTTGACATGTTTATATTATAAAAATTTGCTTTTCAGAAGATGTTGTATGTTAAGATATATGATAAACCTTATAACAATTAACTTTCTTTTGATTTTTTTAAAATTAAAGAATTCAGTTCAAGAACTCTTAACTCTTATTTTAGAAAATATGAAATATAAATATACTTTGCTACCTCATTACGTTTATCACTTTTAATTAATATACCTTCTGTTAGTACCTCTAATACACCAACTTCTGATTTTCTGTCTAAAACTATAACTATCTCATTATATCATATAAAATGAAATGAGTTAAATTTAACCGTGTAACTGCCTTTATTGATAACAGCGTGGTATGCAATCTGGGATTTAAAAAAATCTCAACAGGTCTCAGCCTAATATTTCCATGATGCTTTGTTCTTGCAATGAGAACTGTCTTACCCTAATTGGTAGGGATAGGACAGAAAAAGGGTATAACTATTTACTAAACTGCCTAGTAAAGCATAGATACGTGAATTTCCAATATCTGTCCTAACTATTGCTCGCCCTATTTACTATTATGTCATTTGCTCACATGTTCCAATCCACATATCCATTTAACTCCTATTTATTTTGGGCTTTGTCTATTAAATTAACGAAATTACAGCATCTGGAACTAGACTAGGTTCAAGGAAATTCCACGCATGGCTCATCCACTCTTTATCCTAAATCATCCCTTTCTTTCTAACCTACCACATGTTTAATCCTTATTCTAACATGTGTATTCATCTAAGCCTTTGTAATCTCCTGTAGTCTAGATTTCCTCGGGCTTTGATAAGATTTTGCTTTTTTTGCATTATTCACACTCTTTATGTCAGTTATTTTAGTTATTCCCTTTTGGGTAAAAGTGTGGCAATATTTTTTTTCGCTCGCTCTCATCTCTTTGCTCTTAGAATTTATGTTAATTTTCCTATGCGATTTTATTTTTAAATATCTGTGTAAAGTAATCCCCCCTATAACGCGTTATCATATTATACGATTTCAATCCTCATATAACGCGGGGATTTGAACAGTTCATAATTAGCTTCACATACCTTTGCACGTGTGTATACGGGGTATACGGGAATACCCCTATAACGCGGAACCAATCTACCGCGTTATAGGAGGGATTACAATATTTTGCTTTTGAAAATCGCAAACACATAGAAAAAAGAGTAATAGTGAGGAAATTTTCAACAGTCCAACAGTTTTTAATTTCTCATCAAGTGAATTTTTGGGCTTACCATACAATTACTTCAGAATATATAATGGATATATTAAGTATTCATTTCATATATCAATTTTTTTTTTAATTGTACAAATATATGTTTATATATATATTTATTTCATAGATATTTTAATTTTTCTAATAGTGTCTTTATAAATGATAAGCTTGTTTATAGTTTCTTCTTTACGGCGTATATGTATGAAATTGTAATCAAAGTTTGTTGATATATAGGAACTATTGAATATGTTATATATAGTGTCTTTAATGTCTTATTATAAGAATGATTTTCTTAAATCTATTAAGACTGCTTTTTGTGCTTTTTTATGTGAAATATTTTATTTTTTTCTTTTTATATCTCGATTGTTTTATATCTGCGCAAATTTGTTGTATTAATAAAAATATTTTATTAATGAACTAAATTTAAATTTTATTTTAAGACTACATTTCTGTAGAAAATTCTAAAAATGGATAACGGTGATTTAATTCAATAATTTCTGTCCACTTTAAATAAACAAATTAAATAAATAAAAAAAAAAAAAAACTCATAATAAATTTATATATTTTTTTCTGAATAATTTTTCAATAACAAAATTTGCACACTAAAATTAAATTGAAATATTCGACTTTTTCAGGGCGATACCTCTGGCGATTACAAACGTGCCCTTTTGGCAATTGTTGGATTCTAAAAAAACTTAACTCAAATCACACAAATTAGGTGTACAAAATTGTCAATAACACATATAAGTTCAAGAACCGCCTATACACATATAACTGCTGAATAACTGTCCAACTTTTTATACAACCTTTTCGAATATTTGTTAAATTTTATAAAGTTGTAATGATTTTACTTTTTATAAAGATTTTTGTATTTTAAAGTTAACTAAGAAAACTTGTGTATTGCAAGTACGTAAAGTAAAAGGTGTTCAAAACACCAACACAAAAACAACAACACGTTTTTTTTATCCATAACAATATACATATATATATTTATTTAAATATATAAATGCACTATATAAATGCACAATTTAATAAACATTTTTACATAGCAAATTTTTGAAGGAACTTATTGCTATCACTACTACAACATCACTTATGTTACCTATTCAACCGCATACAAATCAGTTTATTTTGCTAACATTTATATTTAATTTGTATATTTATAGCTTGTATAATAAAAAATAAAAAAAATATTGTATTTAAAAAATATATATTTTACAAAATATTTACTGAAATTTTTTGAAACATTTTTGAGTCTCATTTTTGTTAATAATTCTTGCTTTGTATACGTTTAAATTAGTTAACTGTCTTTAATGGCTACGAGATATACTGTACATGTTTTTATACTTTTGATAATGTTATTTTTGTATTTCTTTAAAATATATTTACATATATATAATGTTAAAAGTGAACAAGTATTTTAAATAAACATTATGAAAATAGAAACAAGGATATTGTATTTATTTTATATAGAATTTTATTTAATTGCTTGGGTTAAGGATAGTTTGGCGCTTGCTTTTAAATTATTTTCAAAAGTTTCTCCTTTAATTTTATTTATTTTTATTATTAATAAAAGTTTAATTAATAATTAAAATTTTAACTTATTGCTATGCTTACGATTTTTTTTAATAATTTTGCTTCTAATAAATAACTGAATAATTTAATTATTTATTTTATAACTAAAAGTGTTAACTAAAGTTTATAACAATTTTAACTGTTTGATGAGTATACTACTAACGATTCTTTTAACAGTTTTGCTTTTAACAAATAACTAAATAAATTATATTAGAAAAAATCGTACTTAAAAGGAACTATAAATCTGCAAAGATTTCTATTAGAAGACGAATTTAAGTTTTGCGATAACATTAATAATATATTAATCTACTTGAAAGTTTTTTTGTGAGCTATTAGGTCAATTGTATTTTTAGAATTTTATTATGTTTTAAAGCAGATGTTAGATGTTAGTTCTATTTAATCGCATATTTAAACATGTTTTGGTTATTAAAATATGCAAATGATTCAAAAAATACTGATCTATCATCAAATCTTGCGTCATGTGCTCTTAAATTTGATCACATGACCGCCAATGCATATATCTTTATCGGTAATACCAGTATGTTCTTTTTTAATGTTTATATGTTTTAAATTGGCAAGGAATTAATAATAATAATCTACGAAATCTTGTGTTCTATAATCAGATTTAGGAGGATATATACATATATGTATATATATGTATTTATGATTTATACATATATGATATATGAATGTATATATCATTATCGATCATATACATATATATATTTATATATATATATTTTTTTTTTAAATATTTTTATTGTGTATTTGTTAATGAACAGGCAAGATAAAAGTAATAATAATCAATTATGATCAACGAAATCTGTTAATAATTTTTTTAAGTAATTTAAATACTAAATTGAGAAAAAATAATTCTTAAGGATTTTGATTATTTTTAAAGAATCAGATATCTAGTAGGGAAACGGGTTGATAATTATGGCATTGTAGCCTCAATTAGTTCTTGAAGCGTCAAAAAATCAAAATAATTAATAAATAAATTCATTTTTGTTGAACAAAAAAGTCGTTTTAAGCTGCAATATTTTTAAATTATTTTATATATATTACATATACAATATAATTATAGCCACAATAACTTATTATAAGGGTCTTAGATTTAAAACTTCTTTAAAATATTATTTTTAAATATTAATGAAAATGTATTAATACATTTATATCGTTAAACTGCCCATAATTTATTAAACAATAAGTAGTAAAAACTAAATTTAATATAAAAAAATCAAAATTTTTATTAAAATTTAAATTAGTTATTTAAAGCGAAATTTGCATTAAAAATTCGAAACACGAACAAACAATATGCAAAATTTTATAGTTCATATAAATACAAAAAAAAAAATAATGTTAATCTGAATAATAAAATAATCAATAATAAAAAATAATTTAATATAATAATAATATAAATTATGAAAATGGCATTAACAATACATAATTTTTAAAAATAAAAACAAAAAGTAAAAAATTCAATAAAAATAAAATTATTATTAATATTAAAAAATTGATAAAAACGAATAAAAGTATAAAATAAACCTTTTTGGAGAAATTATAGAATTGTCTCTATTAAATTTGCACTCCACACGTATGACTCGGTGTATGATTATTGTACTTTTTTGCTATTTAGTCAATATTATGAGACGTGCTTAAGTATTAACTGCAGGACTCCTTAACTTATAAATCTTTTTAAATTAACTTTAACTCCAATTTAACTCCAATTTAAACATTTTACTTAACAAAACCTTTAACAGCATTTCTAACACATTTAAGTGCTTAACTAATTTTCATGAAAATTATAATTATATTTAAATAAGAAAACATATAAAAAAATTTGGAATCATAAATGTTCTACTCACATTTATTTTTCTACTCTTTTTTCTGCAAATTGCCACTTTTAAACCTATTACACCCAATACAACAATATCAACACATGACAATATGCAAATGCAGGAAGATTCGGAGAGCGATATCGGATATGTGCTAGTAACAATGACGGCTTATTAGGTGCACCAGCAGCCAATAAAGTGCTTACAACAAATACATATATAGCCAAAAAAATAAATTAAAAATATATATATATCTTCTATATATATATAGTAATATGAACTCATGTGCAATATGTTTTTTTTGTGTAAAGCTGATTTTCTTAATATTTTCACAAAACATTCTTAACTTATTTAAATTAATTGTGATCGTTGTATTAAAGAGTAAAAGATATTATTGTAGTATTGGCATTTGAACCTTCCATTTCCCTTTTTATACTTTTTTGTTATTGTAATTTTTTTCATAATGAATTGCTAAATTGTTGTGCTTTTTTATATTATATTCAATTATATTAACTTATTTACAAATAAAATGTTTTAATAACACAAAAATTAAAATTAAATAAATTGGTTTTATTTTCTTTTTAAAATGCAACACAAATATTTTTAATTTCTTTCTTTCCAGGATGATTTATCTGGCGATTATAGCAGCGTCCTATGCCAATTGGCTTCATATTAAAATGCGGGCAGTTTTTATTGGTTTATTATAATTTATTATTAAAAAAAACATTATTTTGTTTATTAAATATTTTATGCATTTCATTTCTAAAATTTGTTTAAATATTTTAAATAAATTAATTTTAATAAATAATGTGTATTGAGTTCTTTTCTTAAGAAATTTATTATTTAAAAATAAATTTCACGTAAACATTTTCTACTTTTAAGCGCGATATCTTAAAAACTAAGCTATATTAATAAAAAAAAACTTTATGAGAAAAGTTGCTCAAAATGCGTTGTAATCAGAACCGTTTCATTGATATCGATATTTATGGTGTTCCTGAACATAACAATAAAAATAAAACTATATAGTATAATAAAATAAAACAAAAGAAAATAAAGTGTACGAATGACATCTTCAGGAACCTCAAGATTGATCCGATCAAAAAATGCATAAAGGATAGAGCCCTGAAATTATTTATGAAAACTGATAGACTTATCAACACCGCATTATCGAAGCTGATAAAGTGATAAACAATAACCCAGTCAAGGTGTAGAGAGGCTTATGAAGAAACCTCGCAGTTAATAGAGAGTAAAGTAATCAAGTGCTTTAACTCAACTAGCCTCAACATGATAATAAATATTACAAAAATAAAAATAGATATAGAGAAAGGTAAATTATAAAAAACAGAATTGTTAAAGTTATCTAGTACAAATTAACTAAGTAGTATAAAATAGTAGTTAGATGAGTTAGATCAGATACAACAATGCCATTTAATAGCACCAATTGAGGGCAGAGTTTTTATATTTTAAGTAATCAATTTTAAGAAATAAAGACTCATCTCTATATATTGATAAGTGGAAAATGAGGACGAAGTAAATAATTGGTGATACAAAGGAAATGTAAAAAATTAATGGCAGAAAATAAAAAAAATCCATAACATTAAAAACCAACTATGGAACATGTTCCTACGTATTCTGATATGCATAAAATTATAACAAAAGATAATGCACAGAAATGAATAATGAACGAACTGAGAAGAGCAATACTTAATAATAATACCAAGAATGGCCAAGTCTATATCCCAAAGATACTCATCAACCATGATGTTCAAGTTCTATTCATCACTCCCCAAAGGGATTTTACAAGCAGATCACAGTGGGTCACAAGAACAAACCCAATAATAAGAGTCTAAGCGACGGTCTGCGAGGAAACTGCCACAGATGTACAGAATTGAAATGCACTTTACTATTAACTAGACTGTTGATAGGGCCCTTCTCTGAAATGTGTTTGTTGTTTAAATGCTTTAGTGAATTTTTAAATAAAAAGTTATTAAAAGTAATTTTTTCAATTTTAAATTTATTTATTTTTATAAATACAGATATTTTCCAAATTGCGGGCATATATGCACTATAAGTATTTCAAAGCTTACTATATTACTTTCTCAGATTGGGGTATGATGAAAACTAATTGTACACCTAGTTGTGATAATAAGGTTAAATAGGGACTTCTCTGATTGCTTAAGGAGTCCTATTTACATATATTATATGCTCCTATATTAAAATAGTTAAATTTTTCGTTAATTTTACAAATATTTCCAACCTTTAAATGTCTGGTTTAGGTTGAGCTAAACAAAAATTGTTAAAATGGCATTTAAATAAATTTAGTGGATAGTGGAATACGTTTATTGAATTGTGGATGGTGGAAGATTTTTTTTATCGCAGCGCCAGATTCAGTAGCGCTCAAAAAAGTTATTAAGAGCTTTTATGATTATGTGTTTATAGCGCTAAGGTTGGTAAGTTTTTCCAAAAAAACTTGAATAATTGGACGCATGATGACGGGGATAACAGTAAATTCGATTTCTTTGTGTGTAATACTACAAGATGGCAGCTTAGTAAGTAGGAACTTCCAAAAAAGCAGTATTATAAAATTACCGCTACATACTAACATGGCAGCCTAACCAGTAGAATGATAATTTTATTATGTGAAATCATAGATGGCAGTGATTACGGTAAGAACAAATTAGTATGGACACAAAAATTAAAAAATGAAAACTAGAAAGCGGTGATTTCAGTAAATTACTAAATTTTTTTGGCGGGGTTATGAACCTTTTCAGATAGCCATACAATCCACAAGTTTTTTATGCTACTGATTTGAAGAGGGCTAAAAGAAAAGAGTAATAAATGATTATATTCAATAAAAGGAAAAATAAAAGATACAATAAGTATGTGCATATAGTTAACTGAAGTTATTAACCCAGAAACATATGTCTTTATAACAAGGTAAGCTCACTTACTGGTGCATAACGTGATGTTCCAATATATAATCTAAACCAATATATAAGGGACAAAAACAGCACAGACTGAATATTTACAATTCGTTGACACGATTCCGATTTACACTTTTAACTGAAAAAATTTTTGAAAAAAAAATTGAATAAACCAATGAGTTATTAATTTAGACGTGTATTATATGAATTTCGCAATACAAAAATCATAAGTTTTGTCTATTCATAAATATTTTTATTTAAAAATGAAAAGAAAACCTAGCATATTTGTTATCACACATTGTCAAAAAAATGAAAGATAATAGTTTATGGGAGGTTTCTCGGAGGCCACGGCCATACCTTTAGCACCTTTAGACTTTAAGATGTTCTATTACAGTCTTCACAGATGTATTTTAAAAATATATTGAATCCAGTCCTTGTGAAATATATAGATATATTATTATTCTGGTCTGCGGTATATTTTGGGTATAGAAATATTGGTGTACGTTACAAAAGTTTTGAAAAAACGCAAAAAATTGAAAATTTACATAAAAGACAGTATTTGGGTTCGTTAAAAATATTACTAGATAAAATTTCACACAGTTAATATCAATCTTCTAAATTTTAAAATAATTTCATGGTATTAAGGAAAGATTAAAATAAATATAGTATGTCATTAAGGGTGGACAATAAAGTTTTTGTTGAATTATTCATTTCTATATTAATATTTCTATATTAATAATCACTAATGTAAAACTTTTGAAAGGCAAAGTTTGCAGTATTGACCCACTTCTTATGAATATAATTGTGTTTAGAACTATAATAACTGTATTTTTCAATATTATGTTGTAGATATGATTGTCTTGTTCTTGAAACGTAAATTGGTGAGATGATAAAAATTCTTTTTAAAACATCGTTTAGTTTATAATTTAATTGTAATTAATAAAACATTTTAAATTTTAAGAAATAAAATTTTCAGCATAAAATGTATGATTGTTGTTAGAATTTCTGTTGGTTTGCGTTTAAAATAAATTGATTGAATCTGAATCTGAGTTTATTTTTGTCACATTGCTCCAATATAGTTTGAAAAATAAGAGTTATTGTCAATAAGTTATTGTTTACAGGTTTATAGTTGGGATATGTATATCGTTTCTGTTTTTTATGTGAATTGCAATGAGAGAGGAAATACGCGAGTACATATATTTTCAGCGGAATATTTTCAGCTACTTATAACAAAATTTTTTCTATTAAAAGTTAGTCTAACGAAATAACATTTAAATATAAGTGAATTATTGTAGAACATAACTTTAATAATAAAATATTCCAAGTTTTAAAAAACTTATTTAAAACTGAAGTCTTTCATTTTGATCAGGGAGGAGCAGAATTCTTATATAGTAGTAGACTAAATAATTATTAAAGCTCTTTGATATTTTTTACAAGGCCTTACTCTGATTTTTTAAAATTATTATCTAATTAAAAAACAGCTTATGCATAGCAATCTTTTTTTAAAAACCTATTCTATTAAGTATTATGTTGAACTTTGTAAGAAAATAGATTTTTCAAAGATGATAAATAAATTATATTATTTGTTAATAATTATATGTATATTCATGATTATTTATTGTAAGAGATATTTTGAGCCGTCAGGAACACCAACAGCATCATCAGTGTGGCCTTCCTTAACAAGTGAAACAAATGGGTCTTAAAATAAATGAGAATAAAATAAAGCACTTTCTGTTATCAAATAAATCTTAACATAACTATAAGTTGGAAATTCTGACTTTATTTACCTGGGAACCAGCGTATACATTAATATACATATAAGCCTAGAGATTCCAATAGAACTTACTTCTTAGCCAGAAGTAAAAACACGTCTTAGGCATAAAAAAACACGTCTCAAGTCTTAACTTGACTGTTGTATCGTATGGTGCAAAATTAGAAGCATTCAAGAGCAAAACTCTTTTAAAGACACATAGTCCCTTACGCATTGACAACGAGTATCAAATTAGATAGAACGATGAACTGTACGAACTATACCGCGGTTTTGATATAATTAGACACATAAAAATTTAACAATTTTGCTGGTTTGGTCATATCGTGTAACTGGAAAAAAATGACTCGGCTAGAAAGGTGCTTGAAGGTGAATCTGTCAGTGGGAGATGCGGCGGAGGATTCTGCGACTTTTGGTGACAGTAAGCCACTGATTCGGTTGGGTAGCTGAGGGTATTGAACGACAACTTATCAACAACCAATTCACCTCAATGTTTTGGATCCCATGTCAATATTAACAACTATAAGTTCGAAGAATAATAGAATTTATTATCATATGCCACTATACAATAAATATTGTTGGACTAATCGGCTCATAATTGAGATTAGCTTCATAATAAGGAACTATATGTTTATCATTATCATAAAAATTGAAAAATATGATAAAACGAAATAAATTAATGACATACGATAATTAAATAAAAGTTATTTTTGCTTGAACTGGCGAGTGTCTTTTTTTAATTAAAATTTTCACTTTAATTTATAATTAAAAACAAGCTAAAGAGTTTAACAATATGACATAAAAAATATATACGCCAGTTGTGGTATGTTTCGCATATTCTAAAGTCAGGAAACTTCATTAAATGAAGTTTTAGTGAAAAGTGCGGCAGCGATTGCTATGGCTGCAAAACCACTAGTCACAGGATACCATGACAGCTGCGTTAAAACGACATTAAAAAAAAAAAATTACTTACTTTCAGTTAAGCTGTGAGTTGATGTTAATACATATCAGAAGTACTTAATTATAAATGTATGATTATGAAATTATTTTTGGTGCTTAAAGTTTCTTTAATTGTAATTAAAAATTGTTTCAAACGAGTACAAGTGTTAATGTAA